CATCAAGGATTTCAAGAAGAGGTTGGGGGTTGTGGAGAAAGCTTTGCTGGACCTGCAGGGCCTCTGTACTCTCTATTATTCAAAATATTCATAGCCACTTCCTAGGGCAGATCCCTGCAGAGCAATGTCGAAAGGCAACACCAGAAACAATTAGGCACAAAAAACAGATCTAGAGCTCTTTGTTGGAAGTGCCTTCAAGTTGTCTCCAACTTAGGGCGACCCCATGAATGCAGGCCCTCCATTAGGACATTTCCTGTCCTTGGCAGCCCTGCTCAACTCTTGCCAATAGGATGGAGGTACCAAGAGGGAAATGGCTAAGCAGCATGCAAAAATCTCGTTCCAAAGGAAAGGTAGCAGCGAGGTTTCCACAGATTTCTTCAAGCCATTGAGAAGACCTTGCCTCCAGTGCTGTCTAATCATGGGCATAAGTGCAGATCTTATGTGAAAGAGGGGTGAAAAAGATTCTTAAGCGAACCCATGAAGAGCTACTGTTGGGAGTGAGATGGAGGGCTATTTGGGGCACCGGTTCTCAAGGTCTTCTGGCTGGTCTTCAGGGGAATCAGAATCAGGATGTGAAGCAGAACCGGGCAGAGCCTGGGAATGTGGGCCAAGCCGAGACACTGGGATGAGCGAAATGGAGATGCTTCTCTCAAGGCCAGGCTTCCCAGGCTGCCAGACAGTCGCTGGGAATAACCAAGATGTACAGTTGGTGGGAGGGGACTTGGAACAGGGGAGTTTCTCAGCCATGGACGAGGGGAGCACAGCTCTTGCCCTCATGATACATTGACAGCCGAGGATGGTGGTCCAACGAGAGGATCAGGGCATGGAGAGGAGATGTGCTCGCCTTCAGAAGGCCCCTCCCAAAGGGATGGGGCCCAGGCATGATCCTAAGGCGAGTTCCTGGAGTGAACACTCGCCTGGGTTCAGCACACTGCTCTGTGCGTGTTCGGAGATGCATTCTGGCTGTTTCGGTCAATGAAGAACTCTCAGCAAGGAAAACAGTCTGTGGCTTTTGAGTGATGATGAACTTGGGCCAATGCAGAAGTGGCTGTGCAGCTTAGACGTCCATTTGTAACCCATTTCCAAAGGCAGCAGCATGCAAATTGCATGAGGATGGTTGGTCCAGCTTGGAGGGAAGTTGTGCCTGGGTAGCGAAGGCCAGGTCTACTGGGTCCAGCTACTGCCTAGAACCCAGAGCCAGTCAAAGGCATATCTCCCCATCGCTGCTGTCTGAGCTCCCTTCTTCAGAGCTACTACTTCTTGCGTACCCCACACTGGACACCTGATCCATCCAGGAAAGTTCGAGTCCATTTGGAACCAATTTGCACCTCCATCCAGATTGGATAGCTGCACAAGACAGGAAATCGGTCTCAGAGAAAATTTTCTGCAGGATTGGGGCGCACAAAGGCAGCCCACCCCCTGCCCAATTCCCTGCTGATCCTTAAATGCTGATGAGTTTTTGCAGACCCTGGGAAAGCGTGCCTCTGAGAGAACACTCTTTTACTTGAGCTGGCATTGACAAATGGCTTTGGCAAAACGGCAGATTCTGATATAGGCAGGTTGAGCCGAAATGTGATTAAGAAGCTGTCTCTCCATCGGCAAAGCTGGGATGCCAAAAGTAATTTTGCATAGCACATTAAATTAATGAAGACGCTGGCTCTGCAGAACCTTGGCAAATTGGAAATCGCTCGATGTGCAGGCAAGGCGAACAATAACCGCTTCCCATCTTGCCCGGGGAGACGGTAGTAAAACAAAATGGTTTTTAGATGAGCCGTCATTAAAGCAGAGACATCTGCCTCCCAAATTCAAAACGCTGTCCTTATATACTCCCAGGTAAATAACAACATTAATAAAATTATTAATGCAATCAGCAATTCCAACAAGGCAGAATCGCTTGGCGCACTTGACCAGAAAGGGAAGACCAGTCTGATGGCAGGCGGCCCTAAAAAATATGCTGAGACACCGTGCACATTTCCTTTATACACATCACTGATTTCCTCCGTACTAAATTCCATGGATGAGATCTAGACTAGGGCAGCATCGATCTGTCTGCTTTGCTTCCTATCCTGTTCACATTGTTTCAAGGGCATGCATGTCCTGCCCTGTTTCCACATCCACTGGAGGCAGAATCCAATTGGCCTTGTAGCAGATACCGATCAGCCTGCAAAACTGAAGCCTTGTGACCACAAGCACTGCTGTGGCATTTTATCGAGACGGACTCTTTCCAGATCTAAAGTTAGTACCCTTTGCATCATAGGAACTTATCTCAAGTGCCTTATCCCAGCTCCAATCATGGACCCATCCAACCCAATAAGGTTGATGCTGAAGGACTTCAGTGGCTGCTCAGGAGTTCAGGCAGCCAGTTTCCCAGCATTCCTTGGAGATTCTGGGGCTCAAACATGGCAGCTCCACCACTTAGCCACAGCCCAGGAAAAAACATGACTACAAGTTGCTTGAGCTGGACAAACAGGGCCATAACTAGCAGAGGTGGGAAAACCTTTCCCAATTACTTCTCTTGACCAGAACCAGAACCAGAACAGAAGTAGAGTTGGAAGGGGCCTATAAGACCATCGAGTCCAGCCTCCTGCTTCGATTCCTCATGTGGTCACCCATCCAGGTACAAGCCTGCACTTTTCCAGCTTAGCAAAGGAAATTCGGCATGCTTGCTCAAGGTACAGCTATGAAGGCATTCCCCTCCCAAACCTATTCCCTTTCCAAAACTACATATATCACAGAAGGAGACACACATGGTCAGAACGACCACCAGAGTTTTGCCAAAAGCAAGTGCACCTCAAATTATAGGGAGACTAGTGATGAAGGAAACTTAGGTTGGGCTTCCATCAACCCAGCAAGGCAGCAAGGGGCAAGGTAGGGCAGTAGGCTGGTGTGGAGCCAATACAGAGTTCTGGACAGGTACTGACCCAGAGGAACGTAGCTCCAGTTCAGGACCATGGCTAGCGATCCTACAACTAAGGTAAGATAAAAGTTACGACAGCCCTGGGCTGGGGCAACTGGCAGGGTTTTGGTTTATTTGTGTATTTAAGTATTCATTCCTTTAATTTCTATACTGCCGTATAGCCAAAGCCCTCTGGACAGCTCACAGCAGCCTATTTTAACACAGTACAAAAGATACCAGTCAAAGCACATTAAAACATCAGAATAATTAGCAGTGCAAAATTTGAAAAGAAATAAAAACAGAAACGGAAAAAATATGTTTAGAAGACCTTGTTCAACCCTGTCTAACAACCAGCAGGCCCCAGTAACTAATTAAATGTCCTGTAGCCTTTACATGGAGCCAGAAAGACTCTGGCACCAGGCAGGCCTCAGTATGGAGCTCATTCCAGAACTGGAGGGCCTCCACTGAAAAGGCCCTGAGTCTCCCTCTGACTGTAGAACTTAGCCACCATAATTCTTCCTGGAGCTCCTCCCCTTTAGGTGCTGTATCTCACACCTACAGAGCCAGCAGCTTTTTCCACAATCCCTGACTTTTCTGGGGGTGGGTGCTGCTAGGGGGCTCCTGGATCTTGCTTGAAAGGGAGCTGCTGAGGTTTCTCGCTCCTTGTGGTAGCTGATGGAAGAGACCCCCTGGGAGGAAAGGTGTCCATAAACAGTCCCAGACCTCCTATGTTTAATTTTTCTTAGTTCCTTGGGACTTTTCCCCTGATCTTCATTTGTGCAAACACCAATTTGCAAGTTTTTGTTTTACTCAACAAGTCTGCACAAAAATATGGATATGGTTGCAGATGGTGCAAGACTATAAAACATCTTTTCTTTATGCTCAACAGATCCTTGGATGACATTTTGGAAGAGAGCTAGGATCCTAAACCATGATGGAAACTGATCCCCAGAACTCCTGAAAAGTCCACAATGCAGTCCAACGCATGTCTGTCCAGGAGTAAGTCCTGTTGATGTTAATGATCATTACTCCTAGCTGTAGAGAATTGTGCCCTTGAACTGTTCCATCTTTGATAGCACTGAGTTCGCTAGTTTGTTTCTTTTAACCATTTAATGTTTTGATTTTTTAAACATTGGGTTTTAAAAATTTCATATTCTATTTGGACAGAATTAAGTTGCCCCTCTTTGATCTTCTTGATTGATTGGTGGGCATCTTACAGTACAATAATGCTTATTTGAAAGTGGCCAGGAAAATGCATTGTTGATGCTGGTTGAGGCCCCATCAGTGCGGGTGTTCAAAGATAGGCTGGACATGCACATGGTGGGCATGTCGTGAGCAGAGCCGGCTGGAGCTGGGGGTCAGACTAGATGGCCCAGGAGGGCCCTTCTGATTCATTCTGTTTCTATGTTTCTATGATGGCTGTCCAAAGTAAGCCCTCAAAACACATCCTCTTTTCTTTGCAGGTGAAAAGAAAAAGGAACAAGATGTCTGTTTTAACTCCAGAGGTCCAGTCTAGTCAAGGTACCTCACTTTAGATTCCAGGATCCTTATGAAGAAATGCAACCACCTGTATCAAAGGTAAATACAGTTTATTGAATACAGTATGGATGAGAAATGGTTGCAGAATTTAGACAAGGGGAATAAAGCTTTAACCCCTCTTATCTGTGGCTGCTTGGGTTCCTCGGATAGGCCAGGAGATTCTCGTTGGTCTCCAAAGTTGCCTGGGTGAGTGACATACCAGTTATTCTCCCCAGGCTGAGAGTCAAAGGCACTGCCTCCTGCCATGGACTTTACAAAGTTCTTCTCTCCCACTGCTTTAGAAATCATCAGCACACACAGACACCAACCTCCCTTCCTGAGGAACTGGGAGTGAAGCAGCTTCAGTGAGGTCAAGAGCTCATTCTTACAGCAGAAACAGCTCTTATCTAAAGAATTCTTGAGCAAGGCAGTCCTAATTCGTGGCATGGCTGCAAGAAACAATCCTGGCTTTTGAACACTGGGAAGCTTCGCCACACAACCTGCTGAACCTCCAGAACCACCTCGCCTGTGTTCTGGTGCAGCCCATATTTCTAGAGGCTTGCAAAACAGAATACGCAGAGTGAAATCACTGGACTCTGCAACCAGATGCCTCTCGTTTAATCCTTGTTTTCAGTTTCTTCAGTTTGGGATTGGTTTGGTCAATCAGCAGGCCATACTCTGTAGTCTTCCAGGCCTCTTCGTAACGGTTCTCTGCCAAGTAGAACTGTGCAGTTTGGAGGAATGCTTTGGACAGTCTGTCCCTGTTGGGACCTGGATGGATTCTGGCTAAAGCTGAAGACAGTTCCATTTGAAAAGCTTTAATGTACTGTGTAACTGCCAGTTCCTCTTCCGAAATGGACAAATACATCTTCCCCTGGAAGCAATAATCCTCCACTTGGGTCCTCAAGCCATCTGTCCCATGATTTTGGACTACCTTACTCATGTCCTTCAGAGCCTGCTTGTAGCCCTTCAACTGGGCTAGGCACGCAGCCCTCTTGCGAAGATACCGAATGTCACTGTTGCTTGCCAAGACAGCCAGCGAGTAATAGCCCAGGGCCTCGGTGTGGTGATGCTCCTTCCCCAGCACATGTCCTTCTTTGGCTGCCACCTGTGGACAGAAAAGACGTGTCTTGAGCCAGGCTCTTCTTGTCTTCGGGCTCCAAAAGCCAGGACAACCCTTTGAGATGCAGAGTTTTACTGACACTTCACAGCAAACAAGACAATGCAACTCAAACAGCTTTGTAGCAAAGCTGAACGATATGCTTCTTGCTCATGCAAAGACAGTTGAACCCTAACTGGAAACTTCTCCCCGGTCCCTCTGCCCTAGGAGCGCCATGACTCCACCCACAGGGTGACTCTCACTGGCAGTAAACCAGCTAGCGAGGTCTACACAAGCCCTGCTTTCTGGTACATGATGCTCATTCTCCACAAGGATCAAAGGCTCCTCTGGACACCTCTAAGGATAGAAAACAAGGCTTCCCACTCAAGGCTACGACCTGAGATAGCAGACCCAGGAGCTTAAGCTCACTCTTGTATGACTCCAGTTTCCTATTGGCTGTGAGGAAGAGATAATAAAACCAGAAAACATAGCAGTACATGATATGGATTCTTTCCTTTGTAAACACAGAAGAGAGGGAGCTGTCTTCCTTTCATCCCTCTAAGGAATGAATCCTTTAGAACTTTAAGAATAGCTGACATGGAATCCTTCAGCAAAGGTCAAGGAAATGTTTCATGTTTAAGCTTCTGCCAGTAAGCTGTTTTGCTACGGGCTCGTGTCCTAAAGCTGGTGACTTAAGATAGAAATAAGTCTGTTCTCCTTTTAAAGTTACCACTAATCCACAGTGGCATAAATTAGCTCCCAAAATGTCAGAGCAGCTGGAAAGATGTCCACGGCTCTGCCTTTTCCTGCAAGGCATGTTGACAGCTCCAAACAATAAAGGTGGGGGATCTTTTTTGCTTTTCAGTGCCTCTGTTTGGCTGAGGGCTTACATGTTTGCCCCTTGCTGGGCCACCTCTCAAATTCCCCACAATGCCCTAAAATAAAGTGAAGTCAAAGAGCAGGATAGCTGATTAGAGAGTCCTCTCTTTGATGGACTAGCTAGAGAACTTTCCTTGATTTTGAAGGGGGCTTCTATTTTCTGTTTAGGCCAAGTTTGGATAAATAATGAAAAATAATCAGCGGTGACGTTAGCATACCCCTGGTGACAATCTTCTGAGTAATGGATTCTTCTTTAAGTTATAATTTCTAAATTTTGACCTGGCACCAAAAGTTGCCCGAAATGCCAATGCAAAGTGTTGAAGGAAGTGTCTAGGAGGTGATTTCCCTCATAAATCTGTAAAGCTCGAGAAGGGAATGGGAATTTTGTGCTCTTAACTGGAGGTGTCAAAAGAGGTGGAGGTGTCAAAAGAGCCCCAGTGGCTAGGCGGGCTTCCATGTGACCAGAATCTGGATGACATGGACATTCCCAACGTTGCAGAATCCCTTGAGCTCACAGGACTGTGTGTGTCCCAGCCCTATTTTTATGAGCTCATCTGAACATGTACAGAGTTCATAGATGGCACAAAAGCAGCCAAAATTTGAATGTCTTGGCAGGTTTAGGAAGCAAAGAGGGGCCTCAATTGTTAGTGTGTGGATTGATTATTTACTGGCTTACTTCTATTTTGTTTTTTAAAGGCAGAATCAGAGTATTCCTGATAAGTGTTTCAGAGGGACTTCACTTTCCCCCCAATTGCAAAGGGACTGGGGATGTATGAATTCAGCTTTCCCAAATTCCTGGAGTTTCACCTCATTCTGGCTCAGCTCTGTATCATATGTTGAGCTTCACTTTTCGTACAGGAAAATCCATGCATTAAGGTACAAATCTGCATATCAGTTGCATGATGGACAATTGTGCACCCACTTTCATTGGAGGAAGCCTATTGATGAGCATTATTCAAAACTCTGTGCGTTGATGCATTTTTCATGTGCACATGAATGCATGGTATGTAGAAATGGACCATACACGGCAAATAAAGCCACAAGCTTGCAGATGTATGGCCTTGGGAGAAAGATGACATCCAAGGCTGTGGTTGATTCAGGAGGTGGGTAGAACAAAAATGACCCCAGGTTACTTTCTCATACCTCCTACATGGGACAGAGTGCCAAATAAGGCCATTCCGGACACTTGGGAGAGAAAATGGGAAGGTGGTCCTTCCACCACTTCCTGCAGTGGTTTAAGATGAAGTAAAATTAATGGAAGGCATTGCAACAGTCAGTTAAAATCCCTGCCCCCAGGTCCCCATTGGGAATCTCCATCAGATATCCCCTGGGAATCTCCCTTCCGTAATTCACCACCTGCGCATGGGCAGGGCTATAGAAGGGCTAGAATGCACTGGGGGTGCGCCATATTGAAGTCATGGATGGGGAACCCCAGAGCAAGGCCATCGAGAGATTAGGATGGTGCAGTTTAGTCTGAAAGAACGGAGTCCGTTCACCACGGTGGGAAGCTCTGGAGTCACGCTTCTTTCTTCCACCTCTTTTTTGCTGGAACATGTCAAAGCCAGATTCAGAGTCCTATTGAAGCATTTCACCCTGGCTGCCCTCCCCATCCTTGGGTCGGGCTTGGGGGGCATTGCCAGAAGCCCAAATTACACAGCTATCCCAGCACAGAAACAACTAAAGCTGAGACCCCATGGCTCAGAATATCTCGCTTTCTTTCAAGAAGTCACTTTGTCACCAGGAGAAATGCTCTTTGTTGTCCTTTCATTTTGGCGTTCAGCGAGCAATTGGCAATTAGTTCTAAAAATTGTCCAGCTTTTCTCTCCCAGCAAAGAGAGGTTGTCTCTCCCTTTGCCATGACACCCACCTCGTCTAGAGCAGAAAAGCTTTTTGTGCCAGCAATTGCTAAATGAATGCTTGCTTGCCTGATATCCTCCTACCGGCTTGCTGAGTTACCTTCAAAGCAGTTCACTCAAGACCGTTTCTTGATTTAGCATATCAGCACAGAGCACAGGGTATTTTGCAATTTTTCTTTTGGGGGAGGGGTCTTTGGTTTGTTTTTAGGCCAGGAGAAAACAGTAAGAGACCTTCCAGTCCAAGGCAGAGAATCCATAAGCAGAAAAGCATTCTTTAAAGAGCACTAGGAAACACTGAGAAAATGAGGGTACAGGAAAACTTTAACCTCATAGCAATCATATAACAAATGAAAAGGACACACTGGGGAACACAACCCACATCCTGAGGTTTTCAGGAAAAAACTCCATGAGATCCCAAGAGTTTTATGAGCAGAATCATAAGGGCTTTCTAAACAACTGAAAGGCAGTGGAGGAAAGCTGCAAAGCTGATGGACAGAATGACAGGCATGATTTCATCTTTCCCCTTTGAATTATTTTACTGGGAAGTCTTGCTCCCCTTGATGTTTTTTTTCCACTCTGAAATATATCCCTAGATCTGACAGTTCTCCACCAAGGATGGTCAGCTTCTTCTACTTTTTCCTCTTCCTTACCACCACCGCCTGCTCAAGGATCAGTCCCTAGGATGTTATTCCTTCATTCACTAGGGCTGGGACGGGGCTCAGCTGAAATGCACACACAATGCTCATCTCACCCCATACTTTTACACAAGGTGAAATGGGAGGTCCCATCATGATTTGAGAAGACTCAGACCTATGGCAAGACTGGAAGTGGCAAACATAGCGATTCCCACTGTTTCCTGGTCAGAAGTCATTTCCCCCTCCAAAATTCATCTGGTAGTGTTACTGCAAGATAAATTCAGAGGAAAGAACTTGGTGGTCGCTATGCATGGTGACCACTGGAACAGCTAAGTTTGCTACTGCAAAAGTGGCAGCAGAGGCATTGAAAATGGGGAGGAAAACCCAGGCACGGTATTCCCAAAATAGGTTCATCACCATGGAGAGCTTCTACAAAACTCATGAGAAAACTGTTACAGTTGAGGACCCCTGCCCTCACTAGCACTTGAATAACCAGCCTCTCCTGATGCTGAATTCCATCCCCAAAGCAAGCACACCACCATGGAGAGCTCCTGAAAGCCCAGAAGAAAATCTGCAGTAGATGAAGCACCCCTGCAAGCATAGGAGTCACCAGCCCCCTCTAAATCCACACCTAGATGTTCCTCATCATTTTCAAAGTGGCTGCTTCTGCCATGGAGTCCAGCTCCCAGATAGTCTCAGCTCCCCTTGAGGACTAGGGCCAGTCCCGGGGGTTGCTCCAGCCAGCAGGCTGCACCAAGAACAAGACCAGCTTCCAAAGTCAGCGAGAAGCAGAGCAGTGCTGCAGAATGTGCCAAGTCCTTGTTTCACATGGGAAGGGATTTGCAGCTCCACTTCTCTGGGCCTGGCCACACACTTCCTGCTCCCAGAAGCATCCTTCAACTGCAGTGTCGGTGAAACACCAGAAGTGTCTCCACTTTTGGCCCCACAGGTGCCTAAGAGCATTTAACTGAGTGCGCACCCAGTGGGTCTGTCTTATGGACAATGCTGTGGTCCTGGATAACGCCTCCTCATGAGCATCGCAAAGGAGGAAGAGGGATTGGCGGAGGTACCTGAGCAAGGCTTTGCCTCTGCTTGGTGTCCAAGAAGTTCAGGAGATAACCTAATTCTTGGAAGTCCTTCGCAGCTAAACTGGCCAAAGTGTGGGCGGCAACATTCATGTTTCTCTCCTTGGCCTGAAGCATGCCAAACCGAGAACTGATGGCGTCATTGGGTCCATGCTGGCCGAGGGCCTCCTGGAGATACGTGAGGGCTTCTTCGGGTCTCCCTGTCAGTGAACATGAACAGAGTGCTGAGACAAGGAGGAAGGATTTTTTGTCACCTGTGACCACTAAAGTGCTTTCTGTTGTATATCTGGAGCTCCCCTTCCTCTGACTCAACTCCGCATCCCCATCCAGTTTCATGCTTTCCTAGCTTTCGAATGGCACCGCTGCTTCCCCCACCCACCCCATCCATGGCTGGAAAACAGCCTCCAAGAACTTCTCCCAAACAGAATGTGGTCCCCAGACTGAGCGATTCAATACCCTGTCATAGAAAAGGCTTTAAAAAGGCCCACCTGATTGCAGTTTTGAGCAAGACCAAAATTAATGAAGGCTTTCATTTGGAGCAGCATTTGGCAATGGAAAGGGCAACCCAGCTGCCTCCCCACAATTGTACCAGATATACAAAATTAAACAACAACTAAGCAAGTATTATCCTATCGGCAGATTGAATCATATTAAAATATGATAAGTGGAAAATTGAACCTGCTCAGAATGTGAAATTAAAAAAAAATAGCAACAGTTCGTAAGAGACACTAAAATATCTAAAATAATCCAGGTTCTCTGGCTGCCATTCTTGGGCTCACCTCTGCTATTCCTCAAGAATTTAACTCCACATTTAAATGAAAAGTGCTGATATAAATGTTAAGGACAGCTTTGATTCAGCTCCCTGCTCTCTCTGAAGGAAGCCCCTCTCCTTGTTTCTTAGGTAACACGCAACAGCATCAGACTACCTTACAGAACCATTGTGAAAATGGATGATGGGAGTTGTTGCCCCATTCATCTGGACAGCACCAGGTCAGGGAAAGCTAATCTAGAGCATCAGCATATGCAAAACACCTGATGTACCTTAAGATCATATTTCTCTTGTAAAGGGTTTTTAAAAAGTGTTGCAGATTTTCAAAGTTCCATGGCCCATTTGT